CTTATCTGCATAAAAGACAATACTTCACACAAGACAAAAGCTAAATCAGTTTTTTTTTTTTACTGCATCCCTGCACTAACCTTGCTGGCTGATATTGGAGGGCGGGACACGGGTGAGTGGCAGACAGTTCCACCAAATACAGAGCGCATAGTGCTGTTAGAGGTGCCAGTGGAGGTGCTGGAGGTAGCGTTTAGCTGAAGGAAACGCAAGGAGAGTTAGTATAACACATGCACTCACATGAAAAGAAAGTTAATCAAAGCTTTGCAGTGATGGAATTAGCTAAAGCATTCAACTTCTACGTATATATACGCACGATACAGACTTCAAGCCAAGTGGAAGTTCTTTTAATGTTTTTACCTTTCGTGCCTTGCAAGGGGTCATACTGCCCAGAAGTCTTCTTTTAGTCGGTGACCGTACAGCAGTGCCATACAGCATGTCCTCCTCTGTCTGTTTGCTCTTTTTCATTTGCTAACAACGAAAGGTGACATACGAATTTCAAGAACCTGAACAGCAACATGACAAGAGTTCTCTCGAGGGTAGTGGGATGGTGACAAAATGATTTGCTTTGTAACTTCAAATCAGGCAAATCGCAAAACATTACTTGTGGTAAATATATGTAAACAAATCCAAAACATATGAACAAATTGTCATACTGCCTCCTGCACCAACCCGAAAGTGCCACAGGCAGCACTCTACTACTGAACACTGCTGTATTATACTGTCCAGTAGAAGAGCCTTTCTAACCAGAGACATTATCAGGATGATTCTCTGACATCTGCATGTGACCCATCAATTACAGCATATGCACTATTTCTCACGCCATCAGTATGTCCTGTTTCTGCATGCGTCGTAACCAAGTTCAGCACAGGTATTTACATTCATACAGAGCTGTACCATACTGTACTGTCCGGGGTATTTCACTCTTGTGAAATACAAGCTAAACTTCATTTCAGTCACATTTCACTGTCCATTAAATATGTACTCATATTTTTTTATTAATTTAGAAGTGGGACACCAGGTCTTTATACAAAGTAAAGAATGAAATAAAATGGTAAAAATTGATTTTTTTTTTTAAAAAATAAATAATTTCCTGATAGATATACACAGTAAATAAAGAAAGGCATACCCGTTCCTGTTTTTCCCGCTCCTTCTCCAGACGATAGAGTTCCCACTGCTCGGAAACAAACTGCATGAACTTCTGACCCTGGACCCGAAACTCTCTGCCTTGTTCTTGCTCCCACTGCTCGATCTGGGCTTTCAGCTTCTTTTCAAGCTAAATGAGAGATATTGAGTTGCAGGAGCTTTGTCTATTCAGCCTTATTTTAATCATCTTCTCCAAACAGAGCAAACAAAAGATGCTTTCAGGTAAACAGCATTAATTACCTTAGGGAGGCCTTTGAGCAGGTCTGATCTTTGTTTCTCCTCTTTTAAAAGGTTTCCTCCTCTGTTGGTAAATCTGGATGGATCTGTGGCTTTTTTCTTAAAAATAAATGATTAAATTCATAAAATTAAATGATTAATAATAGCAACAATTATCAGCCAAAACTACTACTACTACTACTATTACTTGTCAAAATCTGAAAACAAAATCTGACATCAGCTTTCTATCTCTGGTTCATCCAACTTACTTCAAGCTCCAAGAAAAGCTTCCAACTCTCCTCCCATTTGTGAACCCCTTCAAAAAGTTCTTTATGATCTTCATAATGCTGTTTTAGGCGCTGAATCTCAGATTCATGCAAGTTCAGATGTTCTTCACTAAAATTATCTGAAAAGAAGAAATTATTCAACTCTTACTTTTACCTTGGTACAAACCGAAAGTATTTGCCGTGTATAAATCCGAATTTCTGTTTACCGTCATGGTAGGGCAGAAAAGCCTGACGCTGATCGGTGCTGTAGAAGCATTTATCCCAGATCACGGTGATTTCCTCTCGAATAGCCTTTGTAAGATCCTGAATATTTCTAAGCTTCAGTTCCTCAAGACGTTTGACTTCAGCTTGCAACTGGGAACAAACAGATGGCAAACATCAGCACTACACAAATGCAGTGAGCCTATAGCCCAACAGAAGAGCATTTATTACCAAAAATAATAATAATAATAATAATAGTGAGTATGAACCGCATTTTCCAAGCTGTTGTTATGGTCTACATACAGCTTCCATGTTCCTCTTCTTAGACATGGTCATGTGCTCAGCGACAGCATCACGATCCTCCTGTGAGATGTGCAACCTGTCCCATAGCTGCTGGATCTTTTCTCGATATGACCCACAGCTACGCTCGTTCTCAGCTTTCCTGCTCTCAAGCTGGAACATTTTAATGTTAGAGCTTTTGCATTGTGTAGCATTTCAGTGTAGAGGATCATTTGGGAAGACTACATTACTCTTACCTGGTGAAGGAGGACCTTAAGGGAGTCAATGTTGTCTTTGGAGAGACAAAAAGCCTCTTCGTCCTCACAGATAATATCCTTTTCAAAGCTAGTCTCAGGCAGCTGATCCAGATCGTCCATACACAGTATTATCTTTTTCTTCAGCTCAACAAACTTGCTGTGTCTTTGTTCCTGAAGAAAAGACAGGTGAAGATGTAACTAAAAAAATAAACCTGTAAGACGTTACTATGATTAAACCCAGGACAGATGAATGAAATCCTCCACCTTTTCTGCTGTCAGTTGTGCAATGTGTTGTCGGAAGCTTTCCAGTTGCTCCAGGGAAGGAACTGCGCTTGCAGAGATAGAGAACGGCTCCAAGCAGAGAATGTCGCAGAGGTCCTGATCCTGCTCTATGAGGGTTTTAAGCGTCTGCATTCTCTGACTTTTCTGTTTCAACATAACCTCAAGACAGGTTCGTATATCTCTCTCTTGTTGGAGCATAGTGTTTCCCCTCTCCTCCTGAAAACAGGCAAATAGACAACTTTAAAAATAAGGATTTTCACTAGGGGTGGAAAAATCAGTAGCCCAGGCACCTGGGACAAGCAGATTTTTAGTTTTATTTTTTCGGGAAAAACGATGAAAGCTGTATTAAATTACATATAAACCGCTTTGGTAAGACATCCTCTTGTGTCTGTCTCACCCTTTACTGTTAGAGTGTAATGGTTATAGTTTTGAATGTATTATATTTTAAGCATTTATTGAGGAGATTGAAAAACTGCTCTTAGGCTCCCATTATAAGTTTGTTTAAGGTCAACAGGTTTTTTTCTCTGTACAGCAAAACATGGCAAAATCTAGACCCGTCAATGAGTCCTGGGAAATTTAAGGGTTTAATCCATCCTATTGCCTCTCGAAAAGCTGATTAATTCAATAATTAACAATAACAATAATTCAATCAGCATTATTACTCGTGGATGAGACAAATGCTCTTCCCTTAGGTTTTCAAGGCAGAACTCATTTGCTATGTTTACATGCAAAGATTTTTGCCAATCTGAATTTATTCCGATCGCTGATTCCGAATTAGCTGTGTATAACTATCCCAAACTGGACACTCTGTAATCGGTCTCCTCTTATATGCATGTAACTGATCAGTTATGCACATAGTGGGAGTGAGGTTTAGTGTCAATATTATCATATCAGTGAGAAGCATGTGAGTCTGGACAGTGCAATCAGTTTTAAAGAACCCAGCTGGTGTTTTAAATTATTTTGGGTCACGACAAATCCTCATCCAAGTGTCACTACTGATGACGAGAAGTTGACATGGATGCACACATTATGCTTCAGTATAATGCCATTACTCATCTTCTAGTGTTATGAGCATTTAAAGCCACAGTCTGGGAATTTCAGTCACCGCCCCCCCTTCTTTTAATATTTGACTCATTTCAAGTGCTGAGCCACCTTTACTGAGGTCAATCTAAATCCTGCATCTGCCTCAAAATGTTACTTTCATGCCCATCCACGCTCACAACTATTTTAAATATATTAAAATCTGTAACTTTTCCTACTGGACCATTTTATTGCACAAAGAGTGCATCGTGACTCAAACACATGTACACAACGCACACACGGATGCTAACTGAAAGTAATTAGACACAAATGTTTACATGGCTATTATTCTTTTATTTAATGGATTATTAAAAGGATTATATCCCTCGTTCAATCGGATATAAATTTAATATGGATCAGTTCACTCCACACCGACTGAGGTGTATACATTAACACTTGTCTTATTATTATTAATGAATTACTAGGCTGCATGTAAACGTAGTTATTTGCAAGATAAGAATTTCTTAAATGTACGTGTGAGAAAGCAACAGTACTGATCACCTTTCTATTGGTTTTGATGCTCGATGAACTTAATGGGCCTGACTGTTGACAAGCAAGTTTAACTGGTTAGGGTCTACATGCAGCCTATTCACTTACCTGATACGGAGGAAGCTGCAGCTCCAAGCACACTTTATTCAGCTCTTCACGACAATTCTCGATACTAGTCATCAAACGCTTCCTCAGACTCTCCTCCTCTGTGATCATCATGTCCAGAAGACCCTAATATTTACATTTACATTTATTCATTTGACAGACACTTCATTCCAAAGCAATTTGAACTCACACACTTCTAATCAGTAGTCCAGAGCCGTAACCTCTGAGACACCACTGACTTAATAGGTAGTATATGTACACTGTAAAAAAAAAATTAATAAAAAAAAATAAATAATAAAAAAATAAAAATATTACAGTAATTTACTGGCATCATGGGTTGCCTGTAAAATACTGTAAAATGTAATACAGGAAACAACTGTAAAAATTGTACTGCAATATCTTGTGTAGAATTGTACTGCAATATCTATGTTGTATAAAATAACACATAACCCAGTATACTTGCTCAGGATAAAACTGAGCTGAAGGTTAAAGGTCTTACCGCCAAGCTGTCATGCTCAGGCACTGGGATTTGAACACACAAGCTTCTGATCTGTGCATCAAAGCCTTAACCACTAAGTACCTTGCATTGATTCAACTACTTTTACCACTAAAATGACTCCACTAAAAAATTGCACTGAATCAATGAAAGCTAGTGGAGCTAGTTGCAGTGGCTCAGTGGTTAAGATATCGGGTCACAGATCAGAAGGTCATGTGTTCAAATCCCAGCACCGCCAAACTGCCTTGATCAACACCCTTCAGCTCAGGTGTATCCTGCATCAACCAAATAAGCAAATGTACTGGGTTATGTGTTGTTTTATACTAATGTAATATATTACAGTTGTTTATCATAAATGTTTTACAGTTGTTTAAATTTTACAGTGCATTATTAGTCAGTAAATTAAGCTACAGAAGTTTTTTTTTTTTTACAGTGAATGCCATATTTATAATTCACATACTATTTGATTTAGTGTCCCTATTCGCTTCATACTCACTTTGATGTGAGTTTTAACCACATTAGTTCTCTCCAGTCTCTGTTCTTCTGGGATACCAATCTCCTCCCAGATGTCCTTCAGGTGGCACAGAGCTTTATTTAGGCATGACACTGCCTCAGCAGCAAGCACCTCACTAAACTCATGATGAAAAACATGGACATGTTACCAGGCCTGAGGGTAATGACAGGTGGATGGAGTCTGAGACAGACCTCAGCAGGTTATTAGATTATTAAAAGTCTAAATGTATTTAGAGATAGCCACTAGTATGGATATTTTGAAGCATTCATTTGACGTGGCGCACATTAGCTAGCTACTACGGCTTATTACACATTAATATAGCTCATTAGCTCGGTAGTTAGCAGAGTCAAGTAACCTGTCATAAGCTAACCGTTAGCCACTTCTAATTAACAAACAAAACTTTACTATTATTATTGAATAAACTCAAATATATGACAATCACTGACCTTTTCCTCATCATAGGGTGCCAACAGTGCAGGTTTTAACAGTTCGCTTACTGGGCGGAAGAAGTGTCGGATCCGAACTCGAGTCTCCGCGCAGCCGTTTCTGTCGATTCAAAATACGCATCAAAATAGCGCTTCGGATTTCATTGGCCAGCGGAGGTGCGAACTGCGCATGCGTGAGGGCGGGTCCCTACCCTGGACTGTTTTATTCATTACGTCAGAAACGGTCAGTCGTCTCTCGCGCACCTCAGTGTCCTTGATTAAAGTGTCGACTGAGATTAATGAAAATCTCTTTCCTTAATAAACAAACAAACAAAAAAATAACTAATTCTTGGAAAATGTAGCTGCAGCAGAATTATGCAAACTAATTCAAATTATGCAGAATTGGTCATGTTAAAAAGAGTGCCTCAGGATCAGTTTTTTATACTGCATTTATTCGTTTTCTGAATACTACTAAGCTTGAATCTGAACATTATGATTCAGTTCTGAGCTCGAGTTACTGTCTGTGTCAAGCTTCTGTGCATGTTCTCTCCATGGGTTTCCTTCCACCACGCAAATATATGCCAAAGGGTGGACTGGCGAAGCTAAATTGCCCTAGGTGTGAAAGAGTTTGTGAATATATATTGTTTGTGTTTGTGTGTTGAACTGCAGTGGACTGGTGTCCCATCCAAGGTGTGTTCTCGCCTCAAGTATTCCCAGGCTAAACTCTGCACGGACGTGCCCCTGACCAGGATAAGGCAGTTACTGAAGATGAATTAATGAATGAACATTTCAGATACATGAGGCAACACACACAAAAAAAAAAACAAATACATGTTTATTGCCCACAGTGGAACTCTTGGTGTAATCTGGACACAACATGAAAAACTTCACAATCATACTGTGTTACAAAACAAAACATGAACACACATTCGCTGAAATGACATAATGTAGTGCTTTTGTCTTTACTGATGGCCTTCATGTCCATTTGTAATTGAGGGTAAAATGTCCTCTGGAATGCTCCGCTCGGCTCAGCTCGGTGGACAGCAATCTCTGAGGATTTAAGCCTGATATTCCAGCAGAGACTCCAGCAGTCTGGAGCTGTTCGTGATCGCAGTTGTCACCACGATAAACTTATAGCCTATGATAAGGAAGAATTATTTTTATGTTAAAACATCAGACCTGTATATTCAGTTATAAATCTTTTGGTCTGAAACATCCTTACCTTTCTCTCTACCTAAAAAGCGCAAGGCTGATATTTCAGAGTAGGTACAACCTCCCAGGAACATCACAAGTATAATCCTTTGAGGGTCTGTTTTGGCTCGTGCTTCAGTTCCACTGGTACCTCCTAGAAATGGAAAAAGTGTTATGAAAACGCTTTACAAAAAAGGTAAGGCAACGAGATAAGGTTTAGTTTCAAAGAATTACGTTCAAAACAATGTTCAATGATGAGTCTCTAGTACTGGGGTAATTTTGCTGAAGATTTAAGTCTCTAAAACAGAGCACTACATTAAAAATCTATTCATTTCAATTATATTTTGCATGTGGCTGCTTCTAGAGGAAAGCCTTCTCAGAAGAATAAAGGCTGTTATAGCAGAAAAGGCAGGGCCAGATCTATATTAATCCCCATGGTTTTGGAATGGGATGTTCATCAAGCACATAAGGGTGTGCTGGTCAGGAGTCCACATATTTTTGGCCATATAGTGTAGCTAAAACTACCAGCCTGCAGCATTAGTCTTTCCAGTTTGATCCAATGTGATTTTTTCACCAAATTTGTCAAACAACAGCAATCAAAACAGTATAATTAAAAGTATAAATGCTACATGTTGAGCACTTGTAACTGAGGGGACAACTTGTCTAGGACTTGGTACATGCCTTATCTATACTCAACTTGTGCATTCACCTGTATATCAATGTGTTAAACCATCAAAGAATACATAAAACATAAAAGATTCAAAACTTATTTTGTACCATGCAGTATCATTGCTTTTTCTGGAAATATTAAAGTATAGGTTTAAGTAAAGTCTCATCTACCACCATGACTTGTTTAAAGACTGAAGATTTTCAGGACCTGTTACTGCAAACTCATGTCCATTTAAAAGGCGCGTGACTTCCTCAAGCCCTGTCCAGCCATCTCTCTCTAATACCTGCACCAACAACAGATAAATATGTTTATTCAATATATCTAATGAAATCTCATATTTCTCATATTTCTTACGATATCTCATAAGAAAGCAATAAATCTATTCTTTATAGTTTAGAGTTAAACTTGTTTTGGGAACACCAACCTGTTCAATCAGTTTACAGCTCAAAGGGACGTAAGCTCCACTGAAGATGTAAGCCATGTCCCGTGGGACTCGGAGGTCATAGTCCTCCCCTGTCTTAGGTATCTGTGTGGACGATCACAGAACAAAGATCCTGTGTTTAGTACAGTGTTGGCTAATATACACAATAAGTGAGGATGTATGAAGTCACGTACAAGCATCAGCTTTTTACTCAGCGCTCGAAAATTGCTTTTCTTGGCCAGTGAGGAGAACGCGTCAGTCAGCTTTCCTAAAAAAAAAAGAAAAAGAAAAAAAGTAAATGAAGAAAATGCATTTAGTTTTAACTGCTTTGTGCAAGTGTACAGTGAACTGTTCCACATTTTTGTAGTGTTACAACCTGGAACTGAAATGAGCCTAACTGGGATTATAGGTCATGAATCTATACAAATTGGCTAATAATACTGAAGTGGGGAGGGAAATATATATATATATATATATATATATATATATATATATATATATATATATATATATATATATATATATATACATACACACGCACACACATACACACACATATACATCATACATATAAGACTTGGAGATATTGTAGATTTAGTGAACTAGTCCCACATCTCACCAGCTGTCTTGTCATTGACCAGTTTGCCCACTTTGCTTTCCACTGCTGTTAGTGCTTCACCAGTCTGTTGCTCCACCAGCAGTCCCATCTGCCTCAGGTTCGCAAAGGTCAGTAGGTGCTCTATGCCATAACTCTATACCATATAAGTAGGAGGATATACCACAATTAGGTTAACTCTCAAACATCAGTTGGATATCTAAATATTATGCATTGTACGAAATCAAGCCAATAGGTATGTTCACTTTACATTTATATTATGGTATCGGCTCACCTGGAGGTACTGAGCTTTTAGAGACCGATAGTCTTTTGGCAGGAGTCCTGTTGTAGAAGAACATATAACAGCATATAGAAACTGTGAGGAGTCTATTCTCGCCCCTAATCTCAGCCTATTAACCCTTCGTTGCAGTACGCTGGTGTTCCATTCTGCTGGCAGAATGGAAATTGACTTATTGGGCATTTTCAATCAGTATAAACAAATGAATTATTTTATCACCCAAAGTCTGTTATAAGATTAGTCAGGACACCGTTGGGTTTCTGTATGTAGAGTATTGTGACTCTGTGTTTAGCTGCTGGTGAGCATTCACACCTCTCCACAATAACATTGGTACAGAGATAAAGCAGACAGCCCAACTAAAGCCTTTTTGGATAGTAAAACGCCATACACAACTACCACAATAAAATTATAAAATTTAAGCCCGAATTAATTGTTACAAGTTATTAGATACTCTTAGTATCTAATAACTTGTAACAATTAGATTAATTTACAATTATCTGCCAGGCAAAGGTTTTTGAACACATGACATTTCTTGTGTTTTAATAGTGATTTGGTGGATTATACCAACAAGGACTAATTAAAGTTTAGAGCTACTCAAAGGTTTGTTCAGTATTTTTAACAAATAAACAATTTAATTCTAAACCTCTGGGATTAATTCATAATAATTTATAAGACTGTCCACCATCATGGATTTGCAAATAACCAACTAAACAGTGACAATGCTAATCAAGATAAATAAACTAATAAACATTTTTATTATTCTTATTATTATTATAAAAAATAAGTATACCATATTATAAGTAATACATAAATATTATAAGTGAAAAACAAACAAAAAAAATCTCAATTGATTTACACTACCCACTCAATTTATATCCTCGGTCATTCAAAAAAATTTAAACTACCTCAGTTCCAAGATTAAAATTAAAATTTTAGTTTAAGTGAATGGAACAACAGGAAAGGGATTATTTTAAAACAAGGTTAATCGTTTTTTAGTGTAATCTAGAATTTAATTACTATTAGTATACGAGTTAATCAGGAAAACGTTAAACAAAATATTCTATCAAAGACCTAAATTTATGGATTTATTATCAGGCAAGCCCCGGATCTTAATGGGACACTAA